AACTAGGTACTGAATAGATAAAACGTTGTAATTCTAAGGCTGCGAGCAGTCATCCTGTGTCCTCTCTCCGTCCTCTCTCCGTCCTCTCTCCGTCCTCTCTCCGTCCTCTCCGTCGCTGTCACGTGTTGCCATGAGCCTTGACAGAAGCATCAAGTGCATGCTTAGGGGGGACTACTTCCCCTGCTTCCATTTGCTGCCTCTTAAGATCATGGGGGGACGATAAGTCGTGTTGAAGCACATTGTACACTGAGAAAGACAAAAAAAGAATTATTTAAGTGGTTTTTATCTTGAAAGCAGAGTATCGTTATGGAATCAATATCTTTTTATAACGGTTTATCTGAGTGCCTTTGAGGACAAATCCTTGAACGCATCACCGTATAAGTGCTAATTAACTTTTCATGCAAGATAAAAAATATTTTATTTTATTTGGTTGTCTTCTGTATAACTACGGGCCCCCTTTCTTAAACTCAGCACTTTTACCTAATTCAGAAGAACGGGGTGTTAGGTTAGAATCCCGTCGTTGTCATTTACCTTGGAACTCTCTGAGATTCTTTAGTTAGGTTCCAAACTCGGACAATAGAGTGCCTCTGAAAACTAGTGCAAAGTGCAAGGTGCCTAAGAGTTTTTAATGAGAACAAAGGCACATTTGAGCTGAACTGACACATCGTCAATTGATTTATCGGGCATCTTGCTCTGAGGACAACTACTTCAACAAATGTTTCACGTTTCCCAAGTTTATGTATGGATGAACCTCGCAAAACTCATTTTTATATTGTCACCTCGTTGCGAGAGAAAAAGATGTATTATTCATAACCAATTCAACTAGACAGTTAAATGTAGAACTACTTCCCTCGTCAGCCGTGTTCAAAGGGGTTTGCATAGCGCAGCTTCTTTCAGAATAGAACTTAAAAAAAACAACCATATTGAGACATTAGATGTCGATGTCAATACTTGAGCTTGAATACAACTTTTTTTTCTAGTTCTGAGACTCGATGCTATTTTACTTTCCTGATCCAAGCGCGACTTTTTTTTATAATTCTTCTTCTCCTTGATGAAACCAGTAAAAACAACGCCTCTATCGATCGCCATTCTAACGGCAGTCCAAAGACTGTGAAATCGATAAGCGAAAGCAATTTAATGCGCAGGTCGGCTGACACTATCTGGGCTGGTCTCTCACAAACACCATTATCAAAGGATTATATTACCTGTTCCCTCTCTGATACTAGGCAATTGTGTAAATATTTAATGCCATTAAGAGACCGATAGGTTACCCGAATTTTGGGCATTGGGTCGTGAGAGCGAAGATTGCACACTTAGTACTTGACACAATGCCTGATAAGAGCGATGGCGAGAAACTGTACAAGATTCCTGTGATTGTGTACGATAATATTCCATTGTGATACCCTCTCTAAAGTTTACTTCAACGCTGTTCTGTAATCACACATCTCTTCCCCTTCCCCAACACACACACACACACACACACACACACACACACACACACACACACACACACACACACACTCACTCACGCACTCATACACACACATACACGTGCACACTCCTAGTCTAAACTTTGGGCCTTTTTTTTCTTTTCCATAAGCCCCCATCTCTGCTTACGCTAGATTCTTATTAATATTTAAGCACACTTAAGTTACATTTATTAAACCGCAAAATTACATGACTACTCGGGGCGTTTTTCTCATACGCGTACACTTCGAACTCATCCTAACTTCTTATTAAATACAATTCAAACCACATACCAAGGGTGTCCTTTTTTACCTTTTTAAAGTCATCAAAGACCTCATTTAGGATCAATGGGGCATCTATTCAAGTAACTCTTAGATTTTTACGAGAAGAAAAACCAGGTTAATTTAAGATCTTCATGAATTATTCATAAAGGCTCGACACTCCCCTACTTACAGAATCCCCTTTCACACAACATATTTGTCTCACCTTGGAGCGGGATCGACAACAATGCGAGGCCTGATCTATGCCAGATTTTGTATGTATATTTTTATCATCACCATGGTGATCACTGAGGTGAACGCGCAGTTGGTATTGCATGGACTGTGATGCTAAATGTTAAGATAATTTTATAGTTTGGACTTTTTTACATCAATGCTGGTGTAAAATGACAGTGATACAATTCGATCCCTGTAATAATCATCAACGAAAGTTCTGCTGCTAAAAATGCATAAATATTGCATTATGCGAGTCACTGTAATAGCCAGTTTTTCTTTTCAAACAAGTTTCAGAAATATCTTGATCGATGCTCTCTAAAGTGCACCATAAACAGAAACATCAAATTACCAAACTAGAATATAATTTTATTCCCCATTTGTCTTTTCAATTGACTCCTCGTGGAGATGGCGAGAGTAAATATTGTACCCAGCTCGTTTTGCCGTTTTCCAGGATATGTTCTAAATTTGGGACACGATATTTCAGTCATTTCCGAAGCGAGAAAAACGAGACCAGTGTGTCAACTCTTGTTTTCGGCAGCAGTATTTATGATGTCTTACTTAAAGCTCGCACACCCGACGGTCGTTGACAAAGGGGGCGATTCCATCAAAGATCATTTTGGCTTCGGATTGTTTTTCACTCTATGAAAAGAGGGAAACTTTTTCCTGACAGCCACTACGACAGTTGACTGGAATGCATGCAAAAGTCTACCACAACGTTTTCTCTTTTAAGTGTGCTTATTTAAAAAGTTGAGTTTTAAAAAAGACCCGAAAAAACGTGTCTGCAGGTTGAAATTATAATACACGAAGTTCAATTTTTATTTCCTTTTTGGAAGACGAAGCCCACACACGGACTGATGCACAGAGTAACTTTAATTTGGGCTCATATTTCCATTAACGGCTGTATCCCACTCCATGAAATCGTCTTTCGGATGCTCTGCTATGGATTTAACGACTCTTTCCGCACTATGAGGTCTTCTTCATCTCGTTCACTTTTAAATGGACTTCCCTGTCTCTAGTGCGAAAGCTGTTGAAGGGCCTCCAGTCCCCATAGAATTTTGGGTCTCTCTGCTTTTGAGTTGGGCCCATATTTCTTTCTCATGCATTGGGCAGGCTTGCAGCAGATGGTTCCGTGTTTGGTTGCCGGTTCCGTGTAGAGGTGTTTCAGTCTGTTGTGTCCTGTTGTAAGGCTGAACAGAACAATCTGCTCTTGACGGGTGAGGAGGTTGTAGGGGTCATTCTGGTAGCAGTGTGGCTGTTGTTCCTTTCATTTTCCTTCCCTTTTAATGATGGTCTTAGCTTCCAAAAGTCTTATCCTTTGTTCAGGTTGATCAAATCGAGACTCTTTATTTGTTACAAAATCAGGGGTTTCATTTCCAATCAAGTTACAGTGAGATGGTATCCACTGGATCAAAACAGTGTGGTGTTTGCAGAGGTTTGCAATTTTTGTACTGTCTTTTAGCTTGGTGTCTCTGATTAAATGGCGAGTAGTTCGGAAAGGGCATCGGTGAGGAGAACCACGTTACGAGAGAAGTTTGGGTCAGATCTGATTTAGCCGGCTGCAGTTTTCAGAACAACTATCTTTCTTCTTTGTGGTTAGTAGCATTGAGACCCACTGCATTGCTTTCTTTGACTTCTTCTTCCTATTGGGAACTAGATGACATTTGCATATTTCCTGTCCCTCGATTCCGATCTGCATCCTCAGCCGATCTGTCTCTATAGACTCTCGTCCAGAGCTCCTTAGGATAGCATTGTCTTGTCAAGGTGTTCCGATTCAAGAGCTCTTCTTTCTAGGCAGGTCTATGAGCCCTTTCCACTCATGCCAGGGATGCTGTTTTGTATGTGCAGGAATGATTGATCTTCCCAGGCAGGTACAGCGGTAAATATGTGGATCTCTTCAGAGATATATTCATTTTTGGGCTGATACTTATGTCCCAGTTCTTTGCTCCGGTGTGCAAGCTTGCTCTTTTAAGTCGGTCTAGCGCTGGCTATGTCATTCTTTTCTTCATGGGGTGGTTTTTTAGTCTACTGAAATAGGCCGCTTGATTCAGAATTTTTGCATATCAGCGATCTTCCTTGGAGTCCTTTCGTCGCCCAAAGTTCAACTATTGAACCTACAGCGAGGTTATTATTAAGAGGCAGAACCCCACATTTTAAAAACAATCTGAAATAGGACTGAGCTCCGTGGTGTACATGTCCTTAATATGAGCGAAAGCAACGTAAGTCCACATTAATGAATGTCGACTAAAACGGCACGTCACCATAAGTTTATTCAAAGTTTTAATTCCGATCACAGGTAAAGTGTTGATTGAGCTATTCAACGGTTTTGAATATACACAAGCACTTACTCTTTTCCTATTTCTAAAAAAAAATAGATTGTGTTATGTTTTATGGAATTTATGTACAAAAAAATGTTCTGTGGCTGAAGCGAAAATTTAGATTGATTTACTTCCTGAAAGAGATATGCTGTTTTCTTGTCTTTTCTATTTATATCTATCCCCGAAAACCTTCTCTGGTATATATGTCAGCTCTGTCTAATTTTCAAGGTCCCTATTTCTGCGATAAACAATGTTGTCGCAGGAAGCAAACAATAAATCTTCAGTATATGCAGACAAGATGACAGACACGCACATGAATGATCTTACATACTCTCCCTCCTCCCTCCTTTCACTTTCTCTTCTCTCTCTCTCTCTCTCTCTCTCTCTCTCTCTCTCTCTCTCTCTCTCTCTCTCTCTCTCTCTCTCTCTCTCTCTCTCTCTCTCTCTCTCTCTCTTACTTTCTCTCTCTCTCTTTTTTCCCTCTGTCTCTCTCTCCATCTCTCCATCCATCTATCTATCTATCTATCTATCTATCTATCTATCTATCTATCTATCTATCTATCTATCTATCTGTCTGTCTGTCTGTCTATCTATCTATCTATCTATCTATCTATCTATCTCTGCCCCAATCTCGCACGTGCTTCGAAAGAGTATGTATTTCGATGAATGTACCGCATTGTTGGCCGCTGCGCCTTGTCATGAATCCTGAAATAATTACCTAGATGTCAGTGACATAGCTCCTCAGCTGTGTGAGGTAGATGACCCTCCGAATTTGACGCTAATGGAGTGGGCGGGCCTCGTGGAAGCCGGCGGTGCGGGGGTGGGGCGTGAAGGCTGGATGGGCATATTGGGCGTGTTCGCCGAGAACCCAGCCTTTTCGTTTGTAGGGCGGGGCTTAGCCGCAGCAGCTGGTGAAGGGGAAGGTCTGGGACTGATGCGTGCCTGTCTTCGCTCTTCCCGCCGTGTGTTCAGCATGTCTAACTGCCTCCGTCTTTCTTGAGCTACTTTCTCTTGCTGGTCTTCAAGTGCGTTCAGAAGGTGAACTGTCTCAATCTGCCGAGCCTGAGGACATTACAGGATATTTTATTCAATGATGTAGTAGTGGTGTCAGTGTAATGTACAGAATTTATCATCGCCGCCAAAAGTATCTTTCCAAAAAATAGTCATTGAAAAAAAAGAAATATCTGGACCCTATCCAAGTTTGGTCCTTGATTTTGCCCCACAGAGGATCAAGTTCGTAACCTAGTGTGCCACAACGACTGGCATATCCCACACCTAACCCCTTCATTGTGGACACGTTTCTATCCACGTTTGTACATGACAGGATAAAACAAACCAAAATATTTTGGTCACCTAATTTAAGAAGAAGCAACAGCACAAGTTGTCATTTCATCTCATTAAACGTATCCAACATGCCAGCATAAACAAAACATGGATGTGGACCAGTTTGGAGAACACAAGTAAATCAGTACGTCTACTCATCAGTGAAGAGGTTAAACCAAAGAGGTTATATTTAGTAGTAGAGTTCGTTGCAGTGATGTCACCCACGTAAACGAATGGGGGCAGCATGTGTCTACTCTGGGACGCTGAACCTCAAAGGCAAGACATGCGCAGTCAACAGAAGGGAGGGTACTTTTCGAAACTCATATGAAGGCGCCTCGGTGGTCTTAGGTGGAAATCTACAAGCTTGCACTGAAATGTGGGGGCAGGGTGGCGATTAATATACTACAGCTTGTGGCGAGCGGGGTGGGCGGCTCAGATTATTCATGTAAATGGGGGCACACCGACCATGCCAATGAGGGTAAGAATGCCCTATCCAGGTTTGGTCCTTGATTTTGCCATACAGAGGATGAAGTTCGTAACCTAGTGTGCCACAACGACTGGCATATCCCACCTCTAACCCCTTCATTGTGGACACGTGTGACGTCACTGCTGCGAGCTCTAGTACTAAATACAACATCTTTGGGTAAAATCTAAACAAACTCAAGCCATAACACGAGATACGCTAGTGCTGCCTCGACTGTTTACCGTTTTCTCCTCGCTGTTGTTGCTCGTCGGCGTCCCGGGCAGCTCTAGCTCCAACTCCGCCACACTGGCGGACACGGTGTGCACGGTGGCCGTGCTCAGACTGTCGGACACCACTGAAGTCATCGTGCTGGAGGACATGGCCGGGCCCAGGGGGTGTTTCCCGTTATAATCCCCATCGGATGTAGTGCACTCCTCAAGACCAGAGTCGATAGAAGGACAGGTTCCCACTTTGTCTTTGTCAGCAGGCCTGGGCGTGTTGAGAGAGTTAAACTCCTTGTTTTTCTTCACGTTGACTGTGAGTTTCTGAATAAACTCCTGAGCTTTCTGATTCTTCATAATAAGTTTCTTCTGAAGTTCTTCTCGTTTGGGAGGAGGGAGTCTAACTCGAGACTGAGCGTGAGAATAGTAAAGAGTGAAGTTATTCACCACTATCGGTACTGTAAACGCCACTGTAAGCACACCACAAAGCACACACAGAGACCCGATGAAGTATCCCGCCTCTGATCGAGGGACTTTGTCTCCATAGCCCACAGTGGTCATAGTAACGAGAGACCACCAAAAGGCGATGGGTATGTTAGTGAACGTGTCATTCTCCACGTAAAACATGATGCTTGCAAAGATCAGGACTCCCGTGAAGAGAAATATAACCATGAGCAAGAGCTCTTTTGTGCTCACCTTTATGGTGTACACGAGAATTTTAAAAGCCGTGTAATGCTTCATTAACTTGAAGATACGAAGCACTCTGATGATTCTCAAAGCAAGGACCGTCCGGATCACTTGAGAACTTCTATTTGTTGGATCAACAGAATTGATAATAATCGAAGCGAAATGCGGAAGCAAGCATAGAATATCGATGATATTCAGGGGCTGTTTAAAAAACTCTAGCTTCTTGGGGGCGAAATAGAACCTCGCTACGAATTCTATAATGAAGAAAACAGCACAGATGTAGTCTAGGACTGTCATGGCTTCATGCCGCTCCGACTCTGAGTACTTGAGTTCGTCGTTACTATTGTAGCGACAGCAGCAAGAGTCCACAGTGGACAGTGTCGTGGTGCAGGAACTCCCGGAGGACACAGTGCGGTTGTAGCTGTCCAGGGGCACACGGAACATGGCGTGCGTCTCCAGACAGAACACTCCGATGGAGAGAAGGACGAAGAACATGGAGACGATAGCGTAGATCTGTTGAGAGATAAGGCATGTTACCAGTTTAATGCTCCTATGAGCTCTGTCGAGAGAAGGGAGAAGTTAGTGGACGGAGTGGATACGTGAGTCTGTATGATGCATGCTAATGTTTGATAATCTGGACTGTGGCGAGCATGTTTACAACAGATGAGATCTGTTGGACGAATCTGGGATAACAAGGAAAGGTGATAGAACAGTACATTAGAATATTATCTCATTTCTTTAAAATATAACAACAGAGTAACAGGCATCATGATAATTAATATGATCGTCTACCCCACCGACAAAGGGAAATGACGCCCCCTTGGTGGAGGGCATGAAGATTACGTGGTATTATTCAGACATGACAATATACCACAAAAGATTAATATATCATGAATAGAGCATGGATAGCGTAGACTAAAGGGGAGACGGGTGATTTTTTCAGAGAGGTAGGAATAACGAAAAATATTGTCACTATTCAAGGGGCAAAAAGAGAATAAACGCCTTCAGGTACACGTACATCATAATATGAGAAAAGCTCGAATTTCGGCAATATAACCAACTGTACCTCAAATTTTAGAGATAAGTGTTCAAATATTTTCTTGCATTTCGTTATATATCATTGACGTGGCATGATACGATTCTAAAGACAATTTCAAAACAATACATAGCAATAAAATGCTGGACTTCCCGTTCACTCTCATCTCTAGTAAGGCTGAGTCAGGTGGATAAAATGCAAGAAACTCTTAAGATGCATCTTTTTCAATCGTACCCAACTGAGGATTCATAACAGGATTGCTGGCACTGCAGTCGAGCATGATACCAATGAACTGAAAAAAAAGTAGACTAAAGTTCAAGCATTAAGCTCTCGTTAAGCTATAACCCAGAACAGAAAACATCAAACGTTAAGAAAAAACGAGCTGGGGATGGTTTCTACGGGGTAAGTCCAATTATTGTGTCTCTAGACAGCTTATTAAGCTGTTCAAAGCAAACGGTACATTGAACCACAAATGCTGCACCCCAAGGTCTCACAAATACTAACCTTTTACGACTCTAAGTTCAAAGACCATCATGTAACCAAATAATTCCACTAGGTATCAGAAAAAGATAATATATATTATGTGTGTGTGTGTGTGTGTGTGTGTGTGTGTGTGTGTGTGTGTGTGTGTGTGTGTACATAGCCTATCTTTGGGGTCAAACAGATTGTCGAATGTATGAATGTATTGCATCATCAATAGTGCCCACTGGTTGTTTAAAAGGCGAAGTACATGTATCATCATTACTGTGAAATTTAAAAATCTGATGCTATACAAACACAAAGGGAGAAAGGGAACCATGAATATCAATTATATCATTGAGTGTTATTGATGACAGCTGCTAGAGAGCGAATAGTTGTCGCTCTGAAATATTGGTTTTCATTCTCAAACGTAACATTGACTAGAAATCAATTTGGAGGCGTAAACATGAGTTTCAAATAACTTGCACGATGTTAATCCCATGGCATCATTTCCTTTTGTTCCATTAGGCCTACTTTGTTGCTCACTACTGTTTCCACATTATTGATAGACCTGGGGATTTCGCTTTGGAAAGCGGTCTTCATAAAGGAGTAAAGCTGTTTGAGCTGGTCAAACATTTATTCAATAATATTGCTTTGCGAGATTCCCGTTCTTGGGAAAATAATAATTTTTTTTTGAACACGCTTAGATTGTTTTGTATTTACGATTTTTGCCGGCTTGCTTGTTGTTAGCTTGATGCTTTTTCTCTCTTTTTTCGTTATGAGAAAAGGGGGGGGGGGGCTAAAGTGTGCAGGAACATCAAAAACAAATTATCCGATTTCTTTTTTTCTGAGCTTCTTGCCTTACTGTACACAATTACACCATTTCGTAGCCGGAACACTGGGATCGGCGCTAAGAGAAAAGAAGAAACATACGACGGCTGAGCAAAAGAAATTGCAGTTTTTGTATATCACGCTTTTGCATTCCCATATTGGACATCCCGAATACAGATGTTCGCCTGGGTTGATTTCCCTCTTCTGATGTTACACACAACTGATGTGCAGTGGTTTTCTGAATCCCCCTTCCTCTCCCCCCCCCCCCCCACCTTTAAAAAAAAAAAGAAAATCTCTTGGAGGAAGAAAAACAATTGACCAAAGTAGCAGATATGAGAAAGGCACTTTGAAATATTAGACAGTAACTGTTTATCAAATATAAATGATAATGTTTTAGTTCCATTGTACGTTATTCAAACATAGAACACATGTATTGTTTCTTGAACACATAATATTGCTTCAAATTTTGGTACTCTACGAAAAAGCAAAGTTAAAAAAATATACTAGTATGTGTTACATTAGAATTGTATAAATGGAGAATAAAATTTCTACTGAAAGTTGTGATTTAGACTACAAAATAAAACACTGACTATAGCAACGTGAGGTTGTACTAACATAGGTGCATGTGCTTAGATTTGTAAAAGCTAAAACAAAGACAAACGAAACAGCAAACAAAGGCTTACCGCTTGATGCTCAAAAGATACTGGGTGTGAGAAGCAGCTGAGTGAAATCGAAAATTAAGAGAAGATTAACTTATATCTTTGCAAATGGAAGACACCAACAAAAATCCTAAAATGTCACACATCACCGTTTCAGTTAGTCTTCATTTGTATTTAATTCTTCTTATTTACGCTAAGCATCACTAAATTCAAAATCCAACAGTTATCAATGATACTGGGTGTGTCAAATGTCACAGTGGACAAATTTACATTTGCAGCATGTGCACCCATTAAACTTTAGTACTATGTCATTGGCCTACACCAAAAGAAACACCCATTCTCCCCATTTTCTCCATTACTGCTGTTTTGATTTCGTTCTTATTTTGGGTATTTTACTTATGCTCTGCTGGGGGTTTTCTTTTTTGTGTGTGTTTTTGTATTTGTCTCAATTTGTTTCGCGGGGAAATGGAAACAGTGAGTGGGGGGGGGGGGGATGTCGAGGTAGGATATACGTGAAATACATAGGTGAGAGGTGTGTTGCAAGCAGCTTTCGTTACAGACCTACTGAACATCACTTGAGACGCAGCCGCACTGATTTACACGTCTCTTTCAATGTCACATCACACCCTTCATTTTGCGTGTTGGTAAATCGTTTTTATGATGCCGGTGGCTGATTAGTTAGTTGATTTTGTTTCTATGTTTGCTTGGGTATATGCTATTGATTTTCTGGAAACTGGGATCTTTGCTGATTCAGTGAACGTAACTCTGAGAAAAGTGTTGCTAAATTCTTTCACTATGATTCCCATTATATAAGTATGTGCAGATATAACTAAGGCTTTAAAACTATTTTATATTGTGTGCGTGCCTGGTCAAAGGTACCGTAAGACGCATTTGATCGAATTGAGTCAAAAGGCGATAGAGGTGAAAGATCGTCGTTCCATTAAAACTTATCTATTTATCGATATTTACATGGTTTTTCTGTTTATTATACACTAATAATGTATTTTCGGAGATGTTCTTTGACACAAGTCGTGTTACGTCATAACAGAGATTGTGTGAGAACATTTATTGCTGTCAGAGCCTATTCGCAGAATGTTTCTGCGACTCATTCATAAAAACAAGCACCCTCACGCTGCATACCAAAATATAGGTCAGCTTGTTACCTATCTTGACCTGCAAAGTTCGTATGAGTGTGAAAAAACAGTAAGGGATGGAAAGTTTGCCGCAAGTGTACCATGTTCCACTTCATGAGCAAAGCAAAGCCATAAAGCCACTCTTCGAAATTTCTAGCATTGTCTCCGACGAAAAATTCTACGACTCATTCGTGATAATTAACCTCTTAACATAGCATATCAAGATTTAATCAGTTTTTGTCCAGCTGGGTTGTGCGGAGTGCGCAGGAATACATTGATATAGTAAAGGAAGGGAGACTTTGGGCACACACGTACAATTTCACACTTCGTGATCGAAGCCAGGTCAATTTTGCGAAACTTCTATTTCTTATCGACTATGAATTTGCATTTAAAATATCTAAATGACATTTTGAAACTGTTTAATTGCCTTAAACTGTTTTTTCAAAGTTGCACTTTACATAAGAACAGTGTTGTCAATTGTTTCGGAGACAAAGAACACGGCTCGTCGATCAGTCAGTATTCATGGAGTAGAACTGGATCCAAATCTAAAGGAAACTTTAAAGCTTATTTTCTCAAAACTTTGTTTCCTCACCCTACCTGACAATATTAACCTGATCTGGCAAAGTAGTGAAGCTATCTTTAAAAAAATATTTTTAAAAACCCAAGTTGTTCAGAAATGATTTTTGTATCATAAAATGCAATAAAACGCAATTCCTCAAAACGCTTCATACGGTACCTTTCATTAGACACTCACATTTAAGAAAAGTAGAAATCGTTTGTTGACTGTTACGTCAATGCTTTTAGAAAAATTCGGACGGGCCAATGTTATGTGAATACAAAAATTCCCCTACTCAACAACGTTTGTCTGTACGTGATGTTGATTTGGGGTGGGAGGGGTGGGCAAATCTGCTAAATTGATGATTGGGGAATTCCCTAACTAAGAAGAATCAAGCTGAAATCCATTCATAGAAGACATGCAAAACCATTTAACGGCATCAATAAAACATAATGCAACTCTGTATCTGCACTAGATCAACCTTGCGTTCATTGAAAGCGTAGGAATAGACTTGCATTGTTGTGGATTTCTTTTAGGAGAAGTGCATCTTGTGTTCAAAACTAGGAAGGGCGAGAGCAGGTGACCGGCCCAAGGGTAAAATAAGGGGGGGGGGGGAAATGAGGGAGAAGGGGCAATTTAGGATTAAGCTGTTGTCGTTTGAAAAAAGTTGTAGGGTTGGAAAGAAATGGGGAATCGGAAGGAGGACGAGGGTTGCGTTGGTCTGTAAGGACTTAAAAGATAAGTCCTATACCATTTTCATTCACATCCTGAGATGCCCTTATCATTAAAAGGTTCGATAATTATCTTACTCCTCATACATTACATTTTACAAAATTTTATCTACGAAATCGGATATGGGCTTGAGGGATTATTTCTTCCAGTGCTCTTACCTCAGAGACCATAGAAATAATTATGTTTCTTTCCCCCAAGTCTCTCACGATATACAACTATTCGACACTTATGACAGGCCACTGTCAAAAGGAAAAGATGCAGAATCATTTTTTTAAATTTCTGATTCTGCCTTCCTTCGTCCACATTACTATTTCTTTATGCATTAGGACAAAATGTAACAAAATGGTGTTCACATCTTCCTAAGGCAACTGACGCCACCGACAATATGACTGAATGGTACATTAACAATGCTTGAGGCCATAAATATCAATATACTGGCGATCAAAAGAAATGTGACACTTTTTGACTGCGTAAAAAATTTAGACTTTTGAGATTTTACACTTTCCTTTCCCATGAGTAAAACTAAGTAGTCTAAAATAGTGGCCATGTTATAAAAATAACTTTGAGGTTCTTTAATAAGTGTTCGCAGCACCAACGTCAAAAATGAGTCTGGCATTTGTTCCTGGCGTCGTGGCGGATATATTTTATTCTTTGTTTTTTTTAATGAAGTTTAGATCTTTGTTTATCAAAAACCGCAATAACATTTGATCTTTGTTAGCCAAGAAAGATAGTAGGATTAACTCAGAATAAGAGAAATTGTGTCATCGACGCGCTCTGTATGTTTTTGGGTTTTTTTGTTTTTGTTTTTTTGTTTTTTTGTTGTTGTTTTTTTTTGGGGGGGGGGTTTGGGGGGGATGGTTCTTTTTTTATTTTTTTATTGGCATCTTTAGAAGGGTTTAAATAATCAAGATGAAAAAGACTATATAAGAAATACTGCTCATGGGTAAGATTATCTCGATTACCATAAGCTCATTTTGATCTCAAACTTCTATACTAAGTGCGAAGGACCTTGTCGTTTAACTTCAACCGGCTAGAGCTGACCGTCATAACAACTTGACGAAAGGTAGAAACGCTTTATCTGGAGAATATTTTTTTTTTATCAGATTGATTGAACTAGAAGCTTTTATAATAATATACAAAAAGACTATTTCAAAGGCACAGCTGGGTTTTGAAATCTACTTTATTTCACAGTTAGCCCCCCCCCCCCAACCCCCTGTAAACATGTCAAAACTAGAGAGTGATGGACCTAAAATAGTAGGGAGAAAGGATGTGAATAGAACCCAAAAGAAATAGAGCCCAAATGCTTAAAAAAGGATTTGCAACTTCTTGAATGAGCAGTGAACTATCTACATCTCCCAGCCTATTCTTGGTATTTGACATTTTTAATAAAATAACATTGTTTACAGAATCATTTCCTTATATCGGGTAGCCCCACTCGATTGTATGTGTCCAAGGGCTGATTTTGAAGTGCAAGTGTTTAATTAAGCCTATTGATATTTACCTTTTATGTCTCTGTTTGCGTATTCATTGTGAATTAATGTTGCCGTGCAAGTTTTCAAAATAGTGCTTATTCTGTTTATTATGTGTTGCTGTTGCTGTTGTTGTTGTTGTTGTTGTTGTTGTTGTTGTTGTTGTTGTTGTTGTTGTTGTTGTTGTTGTTTTTGTTGTTGCTGTTGTTGCTATTGTTGCTGTTATTTTTTTCACCAAATATAGAACGTCTACTATTTTCAGATGACTGCTCGTAAAAAGGAACAATGGCTGAAGATGAAAACAGATGACCTGGATGACTACTTGCCACCTTAATTTGATAGAGTCAGATCATCGATGCATATTTATATGTGAACTGCGAAGCTATATTGTCTTTGCTCTCCACATGAGACTGTTATGGTCATTTAATTCAAAAGAACCAATATGGCGGAAAGCTACTGTCAATCGCTAACTGTATCTGTTTGCCATCGTGCGCCTTCGGGTTATTCATTTTGTCCGAGCTATTTTGTATGAACTCTTGTTTTTCTCCTAGAACCCCCAAAACGGTGATGTGTGACGCGCAGCTAGTCGATGAAAGGAAGCGGCTGTCTCTACTGCTATCTCACAGCTAGGAGGCGGTAGAGTCGGAAATGTTTGCCTTACAGTAGCTACCTTGGCGGCCCTGGACGAGCCCGGGTCCTCCAGAAAAATCCACACCCTCTTCTTGAACTGCATGTAAGGTCCGGGTTTCACGCCATAAGCGTCGTCGTCCAGCTTGAAGGTGAAGCTGTCGTCGATGGCCGCTAACGTTTCTTTGTTCTCCTTGAAGCGGTTGTAGTGACCCCAACAGCAGGGCTCAATGTCCAGCTCTGTGAGGCCCCAGAACTCAAGCTCCTGGACAGAGGATAAGAATGTTATATATGAGATTTTGTAGAGCTTAAAACAAAACAGTTTTTATAGTTATTTTTGCCATCAGACAGAAACCAGACTCGAATTCAAACGTTTTGGTTTATACTGAAAGTTAGATGGAGAGGGGTAGGGGAGAAATGGATTGCCTTTCAGAGCACATAAAAACATATAAGATACATTGAAATAGCGCCCCCACACACACCGCCAAATACACACCCTAACACACGCACAGAAACACACACACACACATAAACACACACGCACACACACACATACACACACAGTATGTTAACATTTTTTAAAAATCACACGTAAAATTAAGGATCGCATAGGAAAAATTAGTGCACAAATAGCGCAGTGACTATTACACCTGACTTGTAGACACTGTCAAGACAACATCCTTTTGATGTGATCAGGTAATAAGGAGCAATGCGTGGCAGACAAGGCAATGGGCGTGAGCCGGGTGAATGTTATAGAGAAAAAACGATGGTCTCTCTAAAACAGAGAAAAGAAAAGACTGAGCAAAAAATAACCCTCGAAGTTCAGCGCATAATTATACCAACGAACCAGGTGAATCCCATAATACTCCACGTGAGCCGAATTTAATGTGCAATTGCAATTAACAATATATTTTTATCGATCTAACCTGATCTTACTTTTCCTTCAATATAGGTACACTTTTACATACAGGATGCCAAAAGCAAGATAATTTCAAAGCAGATTTTCTGGAAACAATCGATTTCTGAACATGAATTTTCAGGACCTGGCAGGGTTATGAGTGGGATTACTTTAAAATGATGAAAAACGTGGGGTTTTATTTCCTTGACAGTTAAGGAATGTTAATGTCCCTGTACGTGCAAGTTCACTGTGTAAGCAATAAAATGGTAAGAATATCGTATTCTGTCTATGTTCTTCTTTTTCTTCTTCTTCTCCTTCTCCTCCTCCTCCTCCTCCTCCTCCTCCTCCT